AAAAAAAAAAAAAAAAACCCAACCAACCAACCAACCAAAAAAACGTGGGAACAACCAAAATGTCAGTGACGGGGAGGAGCTTAATCAAGTCTGTTGTGATGGACCAGGTGGTCATGGCACGTCAGGCTGTAGGCAAATAGAAGTCGACCTGAGAAAATGCCATGAGCAGGAGGTCCATCAAAAAAAAGCTTTTGACAAAGGGCATTTTCAACGTGATCATCTAAAAAAAATCTATAGGTCTACTCTGGGCAAAAGTATAGCTATACTTACAAATGCCTTCAGAAAGCCTGAAAGAATGTATACCGGAGTATTCATGAACATTTTATTTTTTAATTTCCTAAACTTCTGAAATGGTCTTCAGCGAACCTCTCCTACTTCATAATCAGAAAACCATAATTTTTACAAAATCAAAGCACAAGGCAGGAAAATGGTGTCGAGGTCCATCTATGTAAGAATCTAAAATTTTAAGAAAATACATAGGCGGTAAAACACCTTTTATTTCATGGAATCACTTACTCCATTTATTTGTATCAGTCCTTTTTTTTTTTTTTAACACAAGGTACTCTTTTGCTTAAACTTAATACGTATGTTAACGAAAGGGATTTGATGTCTCAAGTAGGCTCTGAGTGTTTATCTGTGGACGGAGGGGAGAGCTGCAGATCTGCACGCTCTCAGCTGCCTGCATGTGAGAAAGGGGTGAACGGCAGCTACCGGAACCTAAGCGGGCCCCATCTTTCTCAAGCTGTGCCCAGTGCCTACAGGCACCTGCTGGACGGTAGGAGGCCGAGGAAGCAGCTTTGCCTTCGGGAGTTCACGGCTGGAAGGAGGAGATGTGACGCGCTCCCTGTTAAGGGGTGCGCGAGGGGATGCCAAAGGTGGGGGCATGACACGAGGCACCCCCAGGTGGGGCGAGGGGGGCAAGGGATGGGGCTGAAGCAGAGAGGCAGAGGGATCCAGCGCAGAGAGGGGACTTTACAACCGGCCGCAATGCGTGAGGAGCCTCGGGGTGACCCCAGAGATGGACCGAAAGCTGTGGCCGCATCACGCGTTATGTCCAGAAACAGCCCTCTCTTCCCCCTCCGCTCACCAAGAGTCTGGATTCATCTTGCAGCACTTTGCACTTTTCCCTCCACGCTGTTGACTGCGTACCCGTTCTATGCAGGCGACTGTCCTCACCGCTGTGCCAGACACAAATATGGGTTGCGGGGATCCCTGCCTTCAAGATGCTTACTGTCTCCAAGGCTGTTCTGGCAAAGCCTCAAGCAATAATAGGCATCATGCTGAAGTAGGTCCCATGCCGCTTTCAGCTCTCGGAATGTCCCTCCAGGCCTAGCGGAAAGGTGTGGAAACGCTAACTGCCATTACCCTTTCCTTCTTTTGATGTGGTCTTGATTTACCGCTCCAAAGGAAATTCAGTAGTCTCACTGATTTTTCAGTGTATACCCAGCCATCTTTCTGACATGACGAGTATCTGCCTCTGCATGATTGTATAATCGATTTGTTTCACGACAGTTCAACGGATAGTCTACGTGATAAGATATCTGGCAATGTTAAATTGCCAAACGCACACTCAGAATGGGGCTTCTTGTCTCCCATTTGTTCATTTGCATCTTCCACCAAGGTTGGATGACACCTGTTGGTGAGTCCCCTCCCCCGCCCCAAACACAGGACTCAACATCATCTTTCTGAGCTAAGCAGGAGAAATAAACAATACGTATGCGCCTCCTTTTTTACTCACTCGAGACAACACAGACATTTAGGTATTTATATATCATTGAATTCATTCAGATCTTTAAAAACTTGGGCTTCAAATTCCATCTCGCTCTGTAAAAAAAAAAGTGCTCAAATTAGCACAGACTTCCAAAAAGGTAAGGAAAGCAAAACGTTCTGTATGTCTCCTTCATGTTTGAAGAGCTACAAGATAACTGAAGAAGAGTGGGGACCAGGAACTTGTGACACTCGTGCACTTTCCACTCACGGGCAGGGACAGTGTTCTGTTCCAACATGACACTCGGTCTGGGGCCACAAAGATGAGCAAAGGGGCATGACGCAGCTCTCGAGGAGCCTCCAGCCTGGTGGCCAGGTGGCCACAAATGGAGCTTAATTCATGGCGGGGACGGTGTCAGAGGGTGACTACATGGGAGCTGCGGAGTCCAGGAGGCCTCGTGATGTCACAGCCAGGCTGCGGCCGGAGCCGAGCAGCTGCACTGAGAGCTGGGGTGGGGAAGGGATGTGGGCCAGCAGGACAAGAAACCAAGAGCTCTGCGCTTGGGACCTACTAACAAGTAGGGTGTTGTGACCTCAGCAAGAGCAGTTTTAGGAACGGGCTGAAGAAACCGCGGTGGTGTGGGTCACAAATACAGACCATTCTCTCACGACGTTTGACTGTAAGGAAGAAAGCCATTGGACAGGAAATAGAAGTACATGTGGGATTAAAGTCCTCCCTTCCTTCCTCTGCCTTTTCCTTTTTCCCTCCCTGTTTCCTTCCCTTCCCCTCCCCCGGCCCTTCCCCTTCCCTTCCCTTATCTCTCTCTCTCTCTCTCACCATTTTTCAGATTAGGCTAAATTTAAATTCTGAAGGGCAAAATTTTGTAGTGAGGTAAGAGGTTGAAGATGTAGGGTAAAGAGAAAGGCCAGTGATAAAGTACTTCCTGAGGAGATGGAAAGAGGCAGATCTAGAACTCACTATTGGGCACTCCTGAGATCCATCCATCCATCCATCCATCCATCCATCCTCTCAGCATTTACTAAGCACCTACTGTATACCATGTGCTACACATGGTATATGGGGAAATATGGTGAAAAAAAAAAGACTAAGTTCCTGCCCTCAGGGAACTTCTATCCATGTTTCGAGACAGACAAGAAGTAAATGAGTAGATGAATACATTCTATATGGTGATAAGAACTACAAAGCAAAAAGGGGCAGTGGTAGGGGGCGGAGGGGATGGAGTAGTTAAAAGGGTGGATGGCACCTGCTCAGAGACTGAGTGAAGTAAGCATCTGAGACATGCTGAGGTCTGGGCACAGGACACTCAGAAAGAAGCTACAGCAAGTGCAGAGGCACCTTCTGTAGGGAGAACAGGCAGGTGGCTGCTCCAGGGGCAGGAATCTTCCATTGGGAAGGTAGTAGGAGACCATGGTTTGGAGAGAGACATAGGGGCCACCGAACAGGCATCAGAACACACTGGGGATTTCAAGCAAGAGAGAGGCACAACAGCATTTGTGTTTTCAAATACACTGGATGTTACAGAGCATAGTTTGTGGGGGGCAACATCAGAAGCAAGAAAGCCAATGATATAGGCTGAGTGTCAGGGTGGCAGCTTGATTTAGGTTGGCAATCACACACACGTGGAGAGGCTATACTCAAGGCCATATTTTGTTCATTTTTAAGAGAGAGAGAGAGAGAGAGAGGCAGAGAGCAAGGGGGACAGAGGATCCGAAGCGGGCTCCACACTGACAGCAGTGAGCCTGACGCGGGGTTCAAACTCAAAAACCGCAAGATCGTGACCTGAGCTGATGCCATGAACTGACCATGAAGGTGCCCCAAGGACATATTTTGAAGAAGGAGCTGCTATAAGAGGGAAATTAAAGGTGACTTAGGTTTTTGACTGAAACTGAGTGCAGAGCCATGCCATTTACTGAGGTAGGGAAGATGGGAGAGAAGTGATTTTTAGAGGAAAACCAAGAGTTCATTGAGATTATCTACTGGACATGTTGAATAGGCAGCTGGATAAAACAACCAGAGATTGGGGAAGCGGGTATATGGTAATATTTATATATCACGTCACTCCACCTGCTTAAAATCTTCCAATGAATCCTCATGAGCTTCAAGACAAAATCCAAGCTCTAAGCGCCATAGGACTTGGCTCTCCTATGCATGTCTAGCGTCAACATGAGTCTCATACTACACTGAATGCTCTTCTAACACAGTCCTTCTTTCTGTCCCCTGTCTTCCCCTCCCACGCATATGTCTTGCTTAGACTGCTCTTCTCCATTTGGACCTTGCTAACTATTGTGGCCTTAAAACCCAGCTGAGCCTTCCTTGTGCCACCAGCCATTCACCAGTGATTCCATCCAGCTGGATTAGATGCCCCCGACCACCGTGGCACTCTCCGGCACGTATCTCTATGGACTGGAGCACCAGGGCGCCCAGGGTACTCCGTAACTGGTGACCGACCTGGGGCAACTCGCCAAAACTCTCTGATGCTCATTTTCTTCATCTGTAAAATGAGGATAATAATACTACCTCCTTCATAGCATTGTTGGGGGGATTAAATGAGGTAATAAACATCGCCTGACATAGATGAAACACTTAACAAGTCGGCATTATTATAGTAATACTTATCACACTGTTGTGTAATTAGTTTCATGCTGGCTTTTCCCAGGAAAATATTAGCCCTTGAGTGCAGACATGGAAACTTTCATCTGTGTTTCTGGAGTACATTATGCTTCAATAATTGTTTCTTACCTGAATGAATGAGTTAATGAATGGGAAAAATGGCATTAGGCTAAAACGGTACTATGAGATGAACCAGCAGGTGGGCTTTCCCTACTTAGAAGCTATTCCTCGTGGGTGAATATAATTCATCTGATCCTTCACTCACCAAACCTACAAGTCCTGGGTTGTTGACTCTCCGTTATGTATTGGTCACTGTTCAGTGAAAGCGATATTACCTTTGGATCAGGTAGACATGGTCCGAAAGCTTCTAGTAGAAGGGTCTCTTCCCTCACAGCCTGTTCATAATCTGAGAAAGACAGCTTCCCATCATGATCATGGTCCTGGGGGGTGACCAGCCACACATCAGTCGACATGAAAAATGCTTACTGCAAACACAGACTGTCTTTTGTTGGTCAAGTATTGACAGGAGAAAGGTGATGGGAAAATGGGAGACTAAATAATGAAATTGAAAAGAACTTTCAATATTATAGTAAAAAAGAGCAACAATGTAAGTGTTTCATTTTACCAAGCAGGAAACTGACAGTTACTATAATTTGAGTTCTAGTGCCTTACCCCATATCTGGCCTGTAAATTTCAATATAAAATCCTAAATTTCCCACATTTACCATTTTTTTAAGAGTTATTTCAACCAAATCTTTAATTCCTTCATCAGGGTCTTCTTCAGACGGCTGTTTGAGAAGGCTGTTCTTTAACATATGGAACATCTCCTCCTTTGAAATGAATCCATCACCATTCAAATCAAACACCTCAAAGCAATCTTTTAAAAAAAAACAACCAGTTATGAATCTGATACTCTCACTAAGGGAAAATGTGCTCTTATACAGTTTTCATGGCCAACATCTGTATTGTGGATGTTCATGTCAACACCGCAGGCTGTAGGGCAATCTGCTTTTCATAGTAAATGCTTCATGGACGCTTGCTGTATATAGTGAACGACCCTTAGAAAATGAGTCCTTACACTCATTCGGCTGTGAACAAGCATGCCAAGGAACAATGACCTGAGCTCTTGGAAAAACTGACTGAAATATGATCCTTAAGCAGAGTTCATCAGCATGAATTAAGAATGAATTAAGAATCAGAAGACTTGAACCAACGTTCACTACTTCTGTGGTTAACAGCTCAGGTAAATATGTAAAATACTTAACACCTTGATACATAACTGCATACGCACACAGTCAGCATGGATAGTACATGCTTATGCAGGTTTGCTCAGCATGAATGACTCCCCAGGACCTCTTGGTTTTCCTTTTCATTAATTTTTTTCAACCTTTATCACTGACTTAAACTCGCTCTGTAAAAGAGGCTACAGGGGATTCAAACTAACCGACCAAAAGACAGACCTTTTCACTGGCAGGTTTGGAAGACGGGAGGTAAGTTCTTTAGATGTGTTAATCCTAATGTCCAAAGCAATAGAATAACCTGAAATCTTACATTTCATTTTTTCTTCCAGAGTTCCTCGAAGAAATACTGATAATCCAGAAATCCACTCTGATACGTTTACACAGCCGTCGTTGTCCTTATCAAAACCTCGGAATACTGAGAGAGGAGACAAGTACAACATTACAGCTGTGCTGTGTTTTCTTTTCTCAGAAGTACGTTTACACTGGTGCCGCTCACTTCTAAAATTTAGACAATTTCAGGATTGGATGGTCCAACGTTCTCACTCGACAAAGGGGAGAACTAAGACATAACATTGGGAACTCTTTTATTTAAACTTTGACACTTTCCCTTTGTATTTTGTGGGAACAAAGTAAATTCTGAGCATCTAAATATATTAATCAATAATTATTAACATATGAATATACTAGTATATTAAACATGCTGATATATTAGCACAAAATACATTATTTTATATTTTTCTTACTTAAGAAAAGTAATGCTATTACATGATACAGAAGACTATAACTTAATTTTTGTTGAAATACTTTTGATGATGCAAAGTTTGTATGTCCTTTTAAAACTATTATTTTCATCATTATGTTTACTAAGTAGAAATAGAACTATTTGAGGCTTTCAGATATAAAGTAAGGAAAACCTAATTATTCAAGCTAGACTTCTTTTAAATACACAGAATACAGAGGGTAGAATCTCCTTCCCTATGATCCTCCCCTATGCATATACAAATCAATTTTTTATATTCAAGTGAAATTGGGAATTCAGAACATTAAGCTTCCTACCAAGGAATATGTCTAAACTCCAAACTTTTTTTTCCAGTTATGGCTAGATGTAGCCCATTTGAATATTGTGTCTTCTTACCTCTGTCCATAATCATGTCATCTGTCATTCCAAATGTCATGTGTAAGATGTTTCGAAATGCATTACGATCTAGTCCAGTGACCATACCTTGCCGCTCTGTTACATCTCCCACCAGGTTATAAAAAAGATTTATAAGACATTGCACTTCAAATTTATTAACTGTGAAAAAGTAAAATTAAAATGTAACAAAAATGCATTTTAATCTTTAATTTCTAACTTAAACTTTACATTAATGAGTTTATAAACAACATCAAGGCCATCAAATACTCAGTTTTCAACAGACGACTATTCTGTTTTAAGATTCATGACACTTAAATTAATAGTGGGTGGCCACTACAGAGGATTCCCCATTAAAATAAGAGAAACAGCCTTCCCACCGAATAAGACTTGAATATTAAACAGATGTACACTCAGTCACGTTTAGGAAGAAAAGAATATTAGCCAAGTTACCTGAAGAACGATTGTGGGGTTGGATCCTGAACTTTAAAGGCAGTAGAGGTGCAATTGAAAGTAAGCAAGGTAATGTTTAAGAATGGTCACTTTCCCCCAGCATTTTGATTATACGCATTTATGGAATCACTTAACTTTTCCCTGGGAATAGATACCAGACTCCTGAACACCAGGCAATAATTTTCACTTCCCATCAGCTTTGGTGAAATCATTAAGCCAGATTTTGGACATCAGAATCACCTATTTTCCAATTCAGAAGCATTTAACCATCTTCTAGCACCCATCATGGTCCTTGTTATATGTGAAAATCAACACACAAGGATTCAGTAGTATCGTGGCGGAAGGGGAATTTTTATTTAAAATAGATACACAGACATGTACACTGGCCCAGGCACATAATTGCATGAAGGGTGTTTATAAACCCTGAGCTAATTATTTGTGTTCCAGTTCTCATTTGACGTACGTAGGTGGAAGTGATTACCTGGCATTAAGAACATAAAAGGGAGTTTAAATATGAAGTATAGGTGGGGGAGGAGAAAGATTTTATGTCAGAACAAAACAAAATTATGACTTGTTTTAAAAATCAAGGATGAAACCTGTGTGAATATAAAGGAAGACAGTAGGTAGGATTGGAGAAATCACACCTCATCCTGCAAGTCAAGACAGGATTGAATGTGATTATCTGGTTTTGGGTACCACAATTTAGGAGGAACATTGAATATTAGGGGAAATTAAAGATTTGGTAAAAAAAAAAAAAAGTGATTAAATAGGGGGCGCCTGGGTGGCTTAGTCGGCTAAGGGTCCAGCTTCAGCTCAGGTCATGATCCCGTGCTCCGTGAGTTCGAGCCCCTCATCGGGCTCTGTGCTGACAGCTCAGCGCCTGGAGCCTGCTTCAGATTCTGTGTCTCCCTCTCTTTACCTCTCCCCTGCTCACGTTCTGTTCTCCTCTGTCCCTCAAAAATGAATAATTGTTAAAATAAATTTCTTTTAAAATGGGTTAAATAGTAGAAAACAATATAATGGTTATAATTTTAAAAAGAGCTATTATGGGGCATCTGGGTGACTTAGTTAAGCGTTTGACTCGTGATTTAGGCTCAGGTCATGATCTCATGGTTTGTGAGTTTGAGCCCTGTGTGCGCCTCTATGCTGAGAGCGCGAGCCTGCTTGGGATTCTCACTCTCTCTTTCCCTCTTCCTGCCCCTCCCCCCTCTCTCTCTCTCTCTCTCTCTCTCTCAAAATACATAAATAAATTTAAGAGAAAGTGAGCAGTTAGTTGCTATAGAAAATAGCATACCAGTTCTTCAAAAAAACATTAAACATAGATATTAAACTAGGTCACCCAGTGACTCCACTGCTGGGTATATGCTTAAAAGAACTGAAAGCAAGCGCTCAGGTGCTTGTACATCAATGTTCATAACAATGTAATTCACAAGAGCCAAAAGGTGAAGGCAAACCAAGTGACCATCGAGGGATAAATGGATAAATAAAATGGAGCGTATGCATATAATGGAATATTATTCAGTCTTGAAAAGGAAGTAAATTTTGACACAGGCTACAACGTGGATGAAACTTGATGACATTCCGCTGAGTGAGAGAAGTCCGATACAAAAGGACAAATATTGTATTATTTCACTCATATGATGCACCTAGAGTGGTGCAATTCAGATATGGAGAGTAGGATGGCGGCTGCCAGGGGCTGGTGGAAGGGGAAATGAGGAGAGACAGTTTAGTGGGTACAGTTCCAGCTGAGAAAGATGAAAAAGTTCTGGAGATGGATGGTGGTAATGGCTGCACAATGATGTGAATGCATTTCATGCCACAGAATCGTACACTTAAAATGGTAAATTTGATGTTACATATATTCAACCACACACACACACACACACACACACACACACACACACACACACACCTCTAAAAATAAAGGAACTGTTAGTGGCTGAAGAAGAAAAGCCTGCATAGGGGCGCCTGGGTGACTCAGTCGGTTGGTTAAGTGTCCCACTTCGGTTCAGGTCACGATCTCAGGGTTGGTGGGTTTGAGCCCCGCATCAGGCTCTGTGCTGACAGCTCAGAGCCTGGAACTTGCTTTGTGTTCTGTGTCTCCCTCTCTCTCTGCCCCTTCCCCACTCAAGCTCTGTCTCTCTGTCAAAAACAAATAAACGTGAAAAAAAAAAAAGGAAAAGCCTGCATGAAGAATGATATTCATGTATATGAAATGTTAGTAGAGTGGATGTTGATTAGCCATTTTTCCATTTGTGCCTGAAATAAAAATTAAAGAATATTACCTTAATTTATTACCCAAAAGATCCAAGATTGGCCATAAGAAAGTCTTTCTTGCTGCAATGTTTCTTAAATTCTAGAATGAAATACTAAATGAAACCAAGGGAAATTCAAGAATTGATTTTCATCTCTTTGGATTGGCCTACATGTGCTCAGCACATCATATTTGTAGAATGGGAGGTTAGCTGGGCAATCACTTAAGATATTTTTTTCTCTGATTCTGCAGAATTTTTCCATTTCACCCTGGTAGGATTATCATCTGGCAAGTAAAAGAAAATCTGACTTTAGGGGAAAGGTTCTCTGTTTCAAACAATGTTTTAATGATAATATCCATGACTTGTAACTATCTGTATAGAATTGAACTAGTCATCATCTAGGTTTTTCAGGCCCACTTTAAAAATTTTATGTAAGGACAAAAGGAAAAAGAGTTGGCTGTTTTACCTGCCAGGTTTTCACTTACCTTTTAATACATCCACCTTTTGACTGTTCACATACACTGTAAACTTACTGAACAGGGACCAAATCAAATTCAGCATTGTGGATAGCAGTCACTGCATTGTTTATTCACAATGTTCACTGGATGTTTTAAGATGTTTTTTTTTTTCCCTTCAAATGGAATTATTTTGAGAAAAACAACAACAGGACAAAACTCTCACCAGATTATAATAACGATAATAATCCCTTACGTTATAGGATGGCTTTTTTACTAAGAAGCTTCAGATGTTTATACACACCCTAACTTTTAGCTACAGTGATGCTCCACTAAAGGGAGCTGTATTTAGATACTAAGTACAACTAGAAGACACCAGATCCTAAATCTCTAGGACTACATTACACCTTTTTGTTCCTCCTTTGCACAATGGGGGTGGTCCTGGGATTACGGCTTCTCCTATTTTCTCAAGTGGCCATTAGTTTTGCAATCAGCAAAACAATTTGTAAGCTTGTGCATCAGACGTATCTTTCTCATTGCAAACCATCTCCTAGCTTCCGTGCCTCCTCGCCCAAGTACAGTTCTGGATACAATTCTAAAGTTGCCTGTGAAACTCTAGGACCGTGTTTTGGAATGTGTGATTGGAGCAGACCTCTTCAACAATTGCTCATTTTGTCGCCTGCGGTCTCCTTTACCTGGCAACCCCAGCAGCAACTGCAAAGTCTAAGTTTGGAGCCGGGAGCAGGTTCTTGACTGTGTGTTTAGCTTTGTAGAGCTCTTTGGTTTCCAGACACACTTCCTTGCTCTGAGGTACAGGTTTTTGTGACACTCAACTCATCTTTCCTATGGATGTTCAGCTATCGATAACCGTTTTTCCCTGATGGATTTCCTGGTAAGTTTCCAAAACTTGGATCCTGCCAGTTTACTTGCTCTAAATAGAGCTAGGTGGGAATGCAAACTGGTGCAGCCTCTCTGGAAAACAGTGTGGACCTTCCTCAAAAAGTTAAAAACAGATCTACCCTATGACCCGGCAATAGCACTGCTAGGAATTTACCCAAGGGATACAGGAGTGCTGATGCATAGGGGCACTTGTACCCCAATATTTATAGCAGCACTTTCAACAATAGCCAATTATGGAAAGAGCCTAAATGTCTATCAACTGATGAATGGATAAAGAAGTTGTGGCTTATATACACAATGGAATACTAGTTGGCAACAAGGAAGAATGAAATCCGGCCATTTGCAACAACATGGATGGAACTGG